GCAAATTAACTGTAGACAATAACCTTCGAAAGGTGACAACAACACAACGTTTAGCCATTCAAACAATGCGATAAGAAAAATCTTGTGATAAGTAGCACATTTTTCAGTGCTTTATATGTTTAAATGTAAACCCCATGTAGATATTCTCATGGTAAACACTGTCTGCATTCCTGATTAAGTGGGCAGGACAAACAGCAGTTTGTAAATATATATAACTGATATGAAATTTAATTTTCACACATCCTATACCTAACCAAAATAATCTACTAGAGTCCCATTAATATAAGAATGCCTCATAACAAGATGATTTATCCGACACACACGAGACACCGATACATTATTATTTATTTTCTTATAACGTTTTGTGCTCAACTTAATCTTCATATTCATAGGTCATACTTTTTTATCTAGTGGATAAGTGGTAACATTAGCATCATTTTCAATACCTTCGCAATCCAATATCCCGATAGAAAATCAATTTTCAAGTGTTGACTGATTTTAGGAAAGATTTTGTCAGGAGCCGAAATCACTTAGACAACCATTCAAAACGAAGAAGCATTAGAAGCTGTTTAATTCTACCGTAATCTTCTTCAACATTACTAAACTACGACCACACACTAAGGATCGAACTCAGAATATACAGGGTAGAAGGTGAGCAGGTTACCATTCAATCACTGGGTTGTCCCATGAATTCTAACTTCCACCGCTTATTATTTAACTTACTGCAGGATAGATGTCTTGGCATTTTATTGATTGGTCGCGACTGGTGAAGTCCACGGAGTTGGGCTTGGGTACAGATATTTGACGACGACTCAGCATAGTGGTGGTGCTAAAAGCGGAGACCTGCCAGGAGTTATGATTCATTGACCATACTCTTCCAACGTGGTAACCATGTAACCTCTAGGACCAGAGTTCATCTTTAGTTTGTTCCCAGGCGTGTAATACTGAGGAGTCCCAAAACAAGGACCGGACAACTGTCCAGGATTGAGAGGTTGCCAATGGTTCGTTAAGTGGTACCAGCTAGTGACTGAATCTACTGTAAGAAAACTAAGTGTTTTTAACTCGAGAAACTATTTAAGTGACAAGAACATTATGAAAGGTGTTTTACTATTGTAAGTACATAGTGTGAAGACAAAGTAGTATTTTGAACTGAATATAGGCTGACCTATATTTTTTTATATGTTCCATTTAGCTATACCAGTTCATTTCATTTGTAACTGTAGATATAATCTTTGTTGTCTGCAATAACTATAGTGCACTATTTATTATTCGTGGAAAAAAAATTACCTAAGATAAGTTTAGTAGCCAGTTGAAATGTCAACTGAACATGGTATTCTTACTAATAATAAATGTCAGGGTAAATCGGTAAAAGGTAAATTCTTTTTTCCAAAATACTTCATATGATATTTTTTATCAGTGAAAACATAAAGCTTTATGATACTTATTCATCATCTGATATTATTTGCAATACATGCCTCGCCTTTGGCCTTCTGGATAGGTGGGTAGTGGATACACTTCATCTATTCACACCAGATTATTTCTTGACAACTCAGATGGAAAACAAATTGTTCAATGGAGCGAAATGCGACACAACCAGATTATACTGTAACTCTCAAAAATTGTCAACGAGGCATTCTGGTTGAAGCAGAGATATTCAGAATATGTTAATATGCACATATGACCTTATTCCATAACTGCTAAACTAGTCAGTTGCTTAACATTAAAATATGGATCATTAAAATGTATAAGCGCCAATTAGCTTAATTAGGATAATAGACAACAAATAATAGTTCGCTAGAAGGCTTATTGTGTCAAGTGATTACATTTATCCAGAAATATAAGTTAAAAAGTTATAACTCCTACATGGAATTAAACAAAACTCAAACAAAAAGTTGAACAGGATAAGATTTCCAGGTTGTCAAATCCCCGTTCCATGTTACTACCTCCAGTAGTATCTAGTAGTTTACATGTACTTACCAAAGCACTTACACAGAACGAACGGAAAGAAGGCATTGTGACCACATATCTGAGCACAAACCAATAAACTTACAACTTAGAGGTGCTATAATCTTTATGGCCATGAAAGTGATGTTTGAAAATCAGTCAAGTTGATTAGAGTTCAGGTTAGTTCCAGCTTACTACATTTCATAAATCGGTTACAATCAAATTTTTTCATTCAGAGAAAAAAAACTGTTGTGAATCTCATCCTAGCTATGGTTAATATATTTAACACTATTTATTTAATTAGACATTATTTAGTGGCAATCACCTTCAAGCTCAATAGCTAAACTATGTGAATATTCAGTGTACAAAAACTAAAACGTTTTCTAGGTTGTGTGGAGTTCATTATATCTCATGAAATAAAATGAGATCACATTTTTTGCTAAAAACCACAAACTACTGATTGATTGAGATGAGTAATTACATACCACTCATATCAACCAGCAGTGTTTGCCACCCAAATTGAGGTGATTTAAACTCCAAACTGCACTTTCGCTCATCAGCGGTATATCAGTAGTATATGGTTCTATGCAAATTTGCTGGCTTTCTTGATTAGAATTTATAGTCTCAAGCAGATCACATATTGTGATTGGAATAACTCGGTTTCCAGAGGCAGAACCACGGGGAAATCTCACTACTCAAACCGTGTAAACTGCAAGCTGTGAATTTGTGATCACATTTTTTCTGCTCAAATGGTTGATTTTGCTTCTTTTTTTCAAGTTCAGCAATCTTGTGAACTCAAGAAAAATTTATAAAATGTTCAAGTTCACTTACTCTGGTAAGTGAAATGATAAGAACAGTGTTTAGAAACTTTGTAAGATATGATGTGTATTCACTTGTTTCAAAATAGACTCTTAGGCGTGAATACCAGTCAAATATTTATTATATTAGCTTTCACAGAATAATTTTTGTCCATTTAAGAAAACTCTGAGACGAATTCTATGTAGCTGTTCTGATCAAGTTAGCATTTCTTTTAACCAAAACACAATTCATATAATTTAAACATAATGCATCAATGATCTTTGATATTTGCTGGTGAAATTATTTTTCAGTTTTTTTATCCTAGGCTCAAATAACACTTCAGTCAGTTTTTACACAAAATTCGATAGACCTTCAGTGAGTATACTTATCTATCTGCCCGAAATTTAAAAAGAAATAACAAACGACTCTTATCAAAAACATATGGTGATATATAATTATCTCTAGCATAATTTGCTTTTCTTGGTAAACATTTAATTTATATACATATATATATTGTGTTGTTGAAAAGATTGATAATTTATTAAAAGTGAATGATTTTATGTTGTTTATGCGTCAGTTGACTTCCATGGAGAGAAAGGAAACTTATTTTTTTCTCTTTAATCAGCGAACAGATTATGTGTTATTGTTTGCTATATTGGAATACTTTTTTCCGTGCGTTATCTAAAGGGTTGCTGAATGTACAATATGTAAGTCTGAGTAGAAGTAGGCTGGATACTTATCGTTCGCCTGAAACTACACCTATTATTCTTTAGAATGTTTTGAGCTGAACACTTGCTTAAATAAGACAAAAAATATTTCATGTAAACAACAACATCGTCGTTAAGTGTAGATCACATGATATTGAAACATATGGAAAAGAAAAATGTAATCTCTGTCCAACTAACTAACTAATTAATATTCTCCTTTAATCTACTTAAACTTAAGTGGTGAGTTATTGCAGGCCCACTAATTTTTCTAGCTGGTCAACTGTCTATCACTGTTATATTGGATCTAATAACAGTTAAAAACACAGTGAACATTAATGTCTGTTGCTTGGTTGCAGGAAGTCGAAGTAAATCTTTGCCTCACCAAGATGTTTTCACAGTGGCATAAATGTAATCTCAGGATTTGGGTGGATTGTGACCACCTTGTCGAGATAAAAACTTGTTAGAGAAGTGCAATCGCATAACAGCACAGTGTTAACACATTCGCAAGCAAGCATTTACTGACATACATTCAATCTATAGAGAGTTTCAAGTATCTCGCAAACACTGTAATATGAAACTACTAGGTTATCAATCTGAAAGAACTAATTATTCCTGATAGTTATTTCACCTAAGCAAATATCCCTTATGTTACTATGTGCAATTAAATAATAATTATATCTGTGTGAACATATTTTTTTATTCCTTTACGTTCCCAGTGGAACATATGGCTTCGAGCTAGAGGCCTGAAGTTTCGGTAACAGTGGTGTTTACTTTTACTGGAAGGGGTCGCTAGTCTCATAACCAACCTTTCCTCTTAGCGAGGTCAAGGAGTGAGTCGGTCAAAGATGGAACCCCGGACCACATGCGTATTTGACTGTGTACCACTGTGCCACTGATGCCGTATAAACACATGCATATATAAATTAGACTTTACGATTTTTGAGGATGAAGTCACCGATAAAAGATATCTTCGCTGATCTGATTCTTCTTTTCCCTCCAAATATCTTTATGAGTGATTACATGAGTTATTACATTCATATTTGAAAATCGTTCAGTAGTGATGCATAAAACATATGTTGGCGTTTAATAAGATCCACATGGTGGCCTATACATGTAGAAACTACGCTGGTTTTCTCGTATCCTTTAGCGGTCGTTCAAGTTTACACAAAGTTTGAGGAATATTATTTACAGACTGTTTTGATCACACAGATCAAGTTAACACACACTTAGTGTTGAGTAATTAATTCACTGCACAACACTCAGTGTTATCGCTTAAAACTGTTAATGTCAAACAGTTCAATAAATAAGACTCTTAATCTACACCGTGTGTACACTATAGATTACACGAAAGTTGATGTTGGAAGCTTTACTTAAACTCTAGACTTTTCATGTTATTAATTCAATCCTAAAAGATTAATTACTTTAAAAAACATTTTTTATGAAAAGAGAACTCCTTCAATTGATCAGGATATGTCAAGAAAATCATATGAATACACTTTCAAACTTTTCATATTTAACATATAATAATTTAGGAGAAAAAAATATGTTTACCTAAACTTATTTGATTTTGTATTTCACTTGAATTCATTTGCTTGTCAATCTCTTTGCTGTTTTCAGTTTCAGCATTCATCATCTCTATTTCACCTGCCATACAATGTATGTGTGAGAAAGAAGTATGTATTTTCCACTGGTCAACTTCTTTCTTTTTGACGTCAAATTATTAATTTTATTCCCAATGAATTAAAAGATCCTTTCTTCGACGGAACAGTTTTTATGCAAACTGGGGATAATTGAACTACTAATCAGTTTATGTTTATCAAGAAAATAAAAGTTAACAAGGCAATATTTTGCATGCATATGAATAACTGTATACTTAGAGTGCCAAATTCCTACATAGAAAAGGCCTTCAAATGTAGAAAGCTGATTGGCTGAAATTTATCCAATTGAATAACAAGCTAATAAAGCTTGATTGGTTCAGGTTATGTAGTGTTTTACTTATTATAGTGTTGATACAGGCTGATTAATATCAATTCGGTTATTTAAGATGATTCAGTATTATCTATTGAAGATACTGTTTAATATCAACAATAATAAAACTGTCAATAACAAGCAAAAGTATTTTGCTAAAGTATAAAGAGGAAATGGCACAAAAAAGACAAGGTAGTTGAATTTAAAGATAACAGAGTGTTATTGAATGTTAATTAGTAGGTCGTTGACTGGTGAAGGTCAACGCAACGGAGTAGTATTTGGTCAAATGTCAAACACTGAAAGTAAATATTCCCTTGTCAGTCTGACTAGTTAAGTAAGAAATATATTTGTTTTTGTGAAGCCATACGGAACGGTCGCAGTCTGACAAGGATTTTTTGAATAAACATAAGGTTGTGGGACTTAGTTACACAATGCTGACTAAGAATAAAGCTGAGGTTTCATTCACAATAGATACTTTATATGAATTTGAGTAAGACATCAAGGAGTTCCGAAATAAATCCGGTAGACCGCTTTATTTTATATATATGTATATTTTTACGAGTTGATCACGGACTGATATCAGTTAGAGAACTATTGAAAACCAGGGAGTACTGGACAGCTGCTGTTTCATCCTAGTTTGGGAATCATCGGCAGTACGCACCCACTGGGATTCGAACCCAGGACCTTCCGGTTACAAGGCAAGCTCGTATACCATTCAGCCACTGGGACCCGATTCAATGGCTCATGAATTCTAACTTCTACCAATTAGTGATTTTAGCGCGACCCCAACTATTGTCGTGTGTGGATGGATGTCCCACCAACGACAATAGTTGGGGTCGCGCTAAAAATCACTAATTGGTAGAAGTTAGAATTCATGAGCCATTGAATCGGGTCCCAGTGGCTGAATGGTATACGAGCTTGCCTTGTAACCGGAAGGTCCTGGGTTCGAATCCCAGTGGGTGCGTACTGCCGATGATTCCCAAACTAGGATGAAACAGCAGCTGTCCAGTACTCCCTGGTTTTCAATAGTTCTCTAACTGATATCAGTCCGTGATCAACTCGTAAAACACAACTAATCCTTACAAACCAAACTATAGAATATATGTATATGTTACAATCTCTCGATTTCGAACTTAAGAATAAAGGAATTAGTACCTAAATTATTTCACTTTTGGATGGCAAAAGACTATTTGTTATATGTATATATATATAATTGTTATTGGCTACAAATGAACATGAAGTGGAGTACAGCTGTAATGTACGCTGACGCAACAGACAAAAACCAACTAGATACCATTATAAACACAATAAAATGAAACATATTGAAGTTATAATATAATGAAAGCAATGAAATAAGATTAATATTACATTTTCGCACCAAACAAGTCGCAGAACAAGAAGATTAATATAATTGGTTTTCTGTCAACGCACAATTCACTGAAACATTTTGGGTAATTTGAACAGTATGCTTTTTTAGGATGTCGACAGTGCTATCAGGGTAGATTTCACAACGAAAAATTTGACAGTCAAGCAGCTTCGGGTAACTTTTCTGTACTCTCTGTCCTTATTGAAAATGCTTAAGTGCTAAAGGGTATGAAAAAAGCACCTTTCTTTTTCAGTAACTTGATTCACTTCACAAGTACCATAAATTATCGATAACCGTAGGAGTATATTGTTCATTGAGAAAAGTTAGAAATTATGAATTATTCGGAAGCTATTCACTGGCTGAATGATAAGATTTTCATTTTATTAATTAACTCATTTGAATTGTCGCAATCTAGAGCAAGGCAGTTGGTCGACCCTGAGTAGTAATTAGTGGTTATGTGAGTAATGTCAGCCAGAAAGAATATCCATTTCGCACAAATTTAACAAATGAAACATCCAAGAAGCATTCACAGGTACATATCACTGTTTATAGCCTCCATCCTGTGCTCACCTAGTATCCACAATGTCAAAAGGTATTATTCACTAAGTCTTCAGAGTGTCGAAAATATAAGAATAACTGAGAGTACAAGAAATGAGAAACGAAAACCCACTCCCACTACTACCAGTACTGGATTTAATGAAGCATATAATACAGGGAATATTAACAAGCAATTATGACTAATCATCTAGTGAATATGTATTTACTCAAAATGATCAGAATCCATCGATCAATTCTTCTGCACTTAGTTCTAGTGATTTTCATTTCGGTATTTTGTACATCTCTTCCTGATGCTTGAAACTGAATTAATTAATTAACTAATTAATTAACAGATTAATCATTACAATGACAGAAAACTTCCTGTAACATACAAGTATTATTCATTACTGCATTCCGGCTTTTTACAGAATGATGAAGCTTGCATTTTACACACATTAACCTAATGTAATGTAATTATGTGTATACAATTAATGTTCATTCTAGTTATAATGAATACAATTTGAATTTTTCTTAGGCAGTATTATTAAAGTGAAGATTCATTTGACAAAAATTCTTAAATAAAAGCCAAAATTAAATGCTGTATCAGTTGTGTTCAGTCTTTCCCTTTTTTCAACGGTTAAATAATGTAAGTCATTATTCATATTAGCAAGACGGTATTGGTCATTTATTTAGCGGAATGTAAAATCTATAAGCCAGTCGTTTTTAGACTTTGAAATACATTTAGGACTTTAACTCAAGTTATTCAGTTCAGGCAGTTAAACAAATGGTAACTTAAACTATAAAATTTTAATCCTTATATTCCGGATGCGTTCATCTTATAACGAATGTTTTCTCTATTACCTTTCAAACAATGAAGTATGAAATGTTATTATTTATAACCATTGTAATTTCAGGTAGTTTGCAGCAGCTGATGAGAACCTGCGAAATAGAATGATATCATTTTATACTGCAAATCTGGTCTTTCTTTCTCTATCGAAACAAACATTTGCCCATTCAAGAAAATAAAATATATGGAATCGAACCACTGAGAAGATATTATGTTAGCTAAAAGCTTATTTTGGCATCTTTTAGTGTGTATCATTTGACAAGCTAATTTGCTCAATGGTACCTACTGGTAGCTTTGCCCAATTTTCGCCGAATGTTACCATATCCCCTGAAAAAAGTCTAATTTCCTGTATTCGCATATTCATGACATCTTTGTCTTTATTCTTCGTGAAGGCTGAACACTGTTTGGCTATCAACTCTAAACTTATCGGAGAATTTAATATCCATCAAGATCATTTATAATATACTTCTATTTATCATCACTATTCATTGTTTTGGTAGGTTTTTGAGACAGTAAAAGTTCTATTCTTGTTCTCCCTTGCTATTATATTTTTTATGCTGGAATTGGCGAATAAAGTGAACTTCATTAGTACATTTTCTTTTAATTTGGCTAAGGGGGTAACATCACTCAGTGGCTTCCATTTTTCTTGTCGAACAACAACATCAATCAGTCGTTGTTAACTTTTCGATCTTGTTGGCCCAGACATTTTGTCTAAAAAAGTCATTTGTAACTGCTATTTGATTAGTCACTAACACAAAGTGTCGGAAGATAACAGAGAGTGAAACAGGGGATCTCCTGTGAAGACAACTCTGAATAAAGATGAAACAGATGTCTGGGACGGCTGGAATAAATCCCTAAAACTATAATTCGGGCTTGTCGGTACTCGTCTGCAACGCATATGTCCAACCATGAAAGCCTCGGCGTTCGACTACATTCAGCCAACATTTATTCAAAGTTTACAGCGACGATGAGTTATTTAGCCTAGGGTTCACATTTATGAGTCGATTCGTTACATAATAAACCATGAAATGAAAGTAACTAGCAATTTCATCATAGTAAACAGAAAATATTTCGAAGTTATCAAGGCAAATCAAGTTATGATCCTTTGTGGAATAATAGTAGTATAGAAAAGTCTCGGCCGTTCTTCACTTAGTAAGAGTAGAAGATGAGACTCGGTAAATAAATATTCAATAGGGTTTCGGCATCTCTATATAGCGAAAATATGTACACCTTATCTTCAAACCACCATTTGCACAAATCTTCCGTATTGTGCTACGTCTGACCTTTGCATTTTGTTTCTTTATCTTCTTTTCGTGTCTCCCATGCTTTACCATAACGCTGAATTCTCTGCTCCCTTTTGACGTCACCTCCATCTCTCCACCTGTTTATATTTTTAAGCCAATGAATAGCTTTCTATATACTGCTGATAAATCTTATCAGTATGTCTAATACAATATAGACAGTAATCAATTAGGATTATTTTAAATGGGAACCTTTGACAGAGTGCAATCAGTATGAGTTAACGGCATAGATTTAGTCCACTAGTATTCTTCATCTCTTATTCTAATGGACAGTGGATCGCTCTAACATTTACTTCCTTTCAAAAAGTAACGTCAACCAGTGGAAACCACTTTATACCAAACCATTTATTTTGTGCTGTGGTCACCATAATTGGATTTGTTAGTTTCTAATTTCTCCTAATCGTCTGTGTAGCATAAAATTAGAACTACATATAGATTTATAAAAACAAAATAATCGAGCAAAGAATATTCTTTTCGATAAATTCCTCTTCCAGGCTCTACAATTATATATATGTTTTTATACACAGAATATTTTAAATTAGTAGTTATTAACAATATTAGCGTTTTTTCAAATAATATCGATTTGTAAAGTATGATCAATGCTATTGCAGTTCATTAATGATGCTTAAATTATAATAATAATAAAGATATAACAGCGGATAGAATATCAACTAAAATTAGGGAAATTTCACAAAATTCTGGATTATTCAAACCTGGATGGCCAAGGTAATGATAATGACTGGACTAACTTCTTCTGGGTGCATAAATTAGGCTTATTAATATGAATCCCCACAGCCTCCGCAATATTTAGAAGTCGAACTCTTAAAGCGAAATTGAGATTCATAGGTATGCGGTAAATGACCCTGA